GTTGTGACTCACTATCTCATCCTGGTCCAGCACGGCAGTATCAGCATGCCAGAAGCCACCCCTCCTGTGGAGCGAATAAGGCAGTTCGCCTCAACCATCCACCACCTATGCGAAAATCGACCAGACCAGCAATCCTCAAGGCAGGAGATCCTGCGTGAATGGGAGTCCTTCATGCTGGGCTGCGTGGTGGAGCTTGGGGCCCTCCTCGTGGACGCGGGGCCTGTCATCGATTCCTTGCCGTGCTGGGCTCTTGGCGCCATCACCGAATACGCACGAAGCCAGGAAGACACTGCGTACAGCCCCTCCCCTTTCCACATCATCCGGATCCTGGGCGCGCAGGAGGGCAGGGCGTTCGTGGGCCGCGATGATGGGCCACTAGGGGTGCTCCCCTTGGAGCAGATCACGGTCGACTGGGCCCCCGAAGGTGCGCCCTTCCCCACCATTCCTGCCGCCGCGTCTCATGCGCCTCCAGCCATTGCCTTCGTATCTCGCCGCCTGTCCCCAAATCTGTCTCACGGATCTGGCGGCTCCGTGGGCGGCATGCCCAATGAAAGGGCGATGCGTCAGGGGCGCGCCCCCAGTAGCCATGCTGCGGGCCAGCCGGAGATCGGCTCCGCGTCCAGTCGCCCCGAATACGGCACAAATGATGCAAAGCACCATGGGGAAAGCCGCGGCAGCCCTCCGTCGGCACGGGAGGCCAGTCCCATGGCCACACCGTTATCCGGCACAGCTCCGAAAAAGCGGGCACGTGACGAAACAGCCGGGGCGGGGCGAACCAAAAAGCCGCATGAAGTGACTGGCAGTAGCACCCCCGGGCCATCGGGACTCCGTGAACTGGCGCGACGGAGTGCCAACAGCAGAGGCAAGCGCGCCATCCGCCTCCCACCACTGAGCCTCCAGAACATGGCGACAACAAGGACGAAAGGCCACGGCTGGAGTGCCCCAGCCGCGGGAGTCCGCCCTGCAAGCCCGGCCTCGCGAGGCGCTTCCGGGCGGGTCAATTCATCCGCAGGTTCCTCTCCTTCGTCGTCGTCATCCAGGCCATCCAACAGTCCTCCCGGGATCGCCACGCCTCCACCGCCCGAGGCACCCTCCATTGCTTCTGCCCAGTCACGGGGAGGGAAAAGGCCTTTTGTTCCACCAGAGGCCGGGATTCCAGAATTTCCGTTGCAGCTCACCACAAAATACCCGATTGGCCGAATGCCCTATGTAAGTATCGAGTTAGGTGCGTCACATCGAGCAAACACGCTAACGCGCCCCAGCACCCTCAAGACCGCGTAGACCGGCGATGCGGCTCCTGCAAGCTGTTCGGGAAGCAGTGCGAGTTTTACCCCCTCGACCGCAAGGCCACTTGCCTCGTCTGCCTCAAAAAACACTTGCCCTGCGAGCTGAATGCCATCTCGGGTGGAACCGCTGGCGACACGGGCCGTTACAAGATGCTTCGGTATGGGATTAAAGCGGCAAACCCGAAGGTTTACGGCCTCTGGCCAGTGGAAGTCTCTGATCAGCTGTGGGGCATGAAGAGAGCCGACATCCCATCGTGGGGCGCGGATGTCATCGCCTTCTGGAATGACAAGCGCAAGCGCGATCGCGCGATCGCTCAGGGGGATGTCATCGGCCTCAAGTACCCCCGGGATTTCAGACGGAGGCTTGGGGATGTCACGATGAGCGAGGGCGAGCTTTCAAAGGTGCGCCGCAAAGCTGCCTTCACGCTGCCGTTTTTATGAACGCGTCGGCCCAAAGGATCACCCGGCCTACATGGCGCACCGGCGAAGAAGCGGCGCCGCCGTCAAGAAGGACAACGGTGCCGAGTTTCCGTCGAGCTCTGCGGGTAAGCGGCGGACTTCTTATGGCCCACACACCCCCTCTGAGCGCGTGCAAAAGGTGGCTCCAGCGGCTATAGCACACCGACTGATGACCAACGCCCACCCAAACGGGCCCGGATGAGGCCGCCTATGGCTCTCAGCAGCCACGGCAGTCCTGGGGCGACGCCTCCCTCAGTAGAGCCCACGGGAGCGGCCGTCGATATGGAGGCCGACCCGTCTCCAGGCAGCGTGGAGGGCGCCAGCAACACTGTCACGCACAGGCGCCCCATTAACCCCGCCTTCGCTCCTGCACACCCTGGGAGCGCGCCCCAGTGGGGCTTCGAGCAATTGGAGGCTCGTCTCACCGCCCTTGAGTCCCGGGTCCAGGGCTGGATGCACAGGCTGGAGGCCTGCGGCCGGGCCCGTGATGAGCGAATTGATGGCCTAGAGGTGGACATTCGGGCCATGATTCGGCCCTCGACGCTTTCTCCGATGACTTGTAGCCCTCCGTGGCGCAATGGAGGGGCGGTGGCGGCCGGCCCCAGGGAGGTGCGCTGCTCCCGGGCGGCCGCCCCTTCTGTGCGGCCCCGGGCCCGCCCGTCTCACAGAAAGCAGCGGCTTCCGGACCGGACAGCGACCCGGAGATGAGCTCCAATATTCGTAGGTCTGGGGCTATTATGCGCGCCTGCTGCATGAAGTAGCCTGTGCCTTAGCCGCAATGTTTTTGGGATATGTCGCAAATTTGTACCGTGGGCGAACGTGAAGGCGGCTCATTCTGGCGCGAGCGGCAGTGGTGGCGGCAGGGCGCCAGCTGTTCCAAGATCGACTGGCTGCGCAGACGCTTCTACTACAGGACAGAGAGTCGGCCGGCCAGGCCCCGGTCAGAGCCAGCCGTGCTAAGCCAGCAGGCGGCGCCGGTAACTGGATTGGCTTGGAACGGGCTGGCAGCGAGTGCAGGCGCCGAACTGGCGGAGTGACTGGGGCCCCGCTGTCAATGTAGATCGAGCGGAGACAATGCTGCTGTTACGGTCGCGGAGCGCGGAGGTCGGGCGAGTCGGAGACGAGCAGGAAGAAGGGTCGGATTAGAGGGACGCGCTTGACCTCGGGGAGGAGCCAGGAGGCAATCGCGTGGCGAGACAGTGAAGCGGGCGCAAGAATAAAGGCAGGGTGGCGGGCGATCGTATGCTAGGCGTCCGTTACAGGTGCGCGCTGCAGCCCATAATCAGACCGGCGGAGCAGGCCATAACAGCTGCGTTATAAGCCTACGGTGGTGATTCCCCAGATGCATCTGTTGCGATAGCGTGAGGTTCGAACGAGGCCCAACGAACGAGCGCCTCGGCCGAACGGGCTTTCTAGGCGTGGGTTGCCGTGGGTTGGGATGAGGGGACGCGCGCTAGCGCGCAAAAGGCCATCGCCTTTCGTCTCCTCCCGCATCGCACCCACGCAGCTCAAAGCGCACCCACCCATCATCCCAGCGCTTTGGTTGTGAGAGCGGCGCAGAACGCGTCGCACTCCGGCCTCGCGCTCAAGCGGACCGTCCGGATCGCGACTCACATTCGTGTTCTGCCCAGCATCGGGCCGACCTTCCCGGACGGGGCGCTCTGCTTTTCACTAGGACTGAACACGCGGGGCGCTACAGTGACCAGAGCGCCCCTCGGCCATGGTCTCCCTCACTGCCTGCCCGCACAAGGCTTTCACCACGCAACTAGGAAGCCTATCGATCGCAGGTGCGGATGCATGTGGTGCCGGCGGCCCAGTTGCGCCCCCGAGCTGCTCACGCAGGCCCAGCCATGGCACGGCGCGACACTGCCTGGGCCCTGCCACCTGAGCTCACCTCCTTTGTTTCACACCACACTTTGTATGCATTGGTGATCAAAATATATTTATCAGTGAACTATTACACAGGCAGACTAGCAAGTAACACGGTATACCACATCCACAACAATGCTGAGGCAGAGGCAGAGGCGGGTGCAGGCGGGCGACACGGGGAGGTGGGCAACGCGGACGTGCGGGCGCAGAGGCGGTGGGTGGGTGTGCGGGACGCGGGCGACGTGGGCGCAGGCAACGCGGCGGCGCCAAGAGGCAGCGACGCGCGCGCGGAGGCCGCAACGCGGCGAGGTGAAGGCGGGCGAGGTGGGCACGGAGGTGGGCGTGGAGAAGGCGGGCGAGGACGTGGGGGCGGAAGAGGGCGACGCGGTGACGAGCGACGCAGAGGAGGAGGGCGAGGACGTGGGCGGGACGAGGGCGGACGGAGGGGATGGCAAGGCTGAGGCGCGGGACGTGAAGGTGGGCGACGCGAAGCCGGGCGATGCGAGGGCAGGCGACGCGAGGGCAGGCGACGCGAAGGTGGGGAACGTGAAGGCGGGGGCGACGCGGAGGGCTCGCGGGAGGACAGGGAGGGCCGGGATGAAAAGGTGGTGGGCGACGTGGGTTGGGACGACACAGAGGAGCGTGGGATGGAGGTGGCGGGCAACGCGGTGGCGCAGATGGCCAACGCGGGCGGAGGTGAGGCCTTGAGGGAGGCGGCGGGCGATGCGGGCGGACTTGGCGATGTGGAGGTGGGTGACGCAGACGCGGATGAGGTGGGAGGAAAAGGGTGACGCGGGTGGTGGGCAGCGTGCAAGCGGGCGACGCGTGCGGAGGTGGGCAGTGCAGATGCGAGCGGCGCAGAGGAGGGTGGCGCGGGGCAGTGGGCGGCGCAGGAGAGGAGGGTGGCGCGAAGGAGGCGGGCTGCACGAAGGAGGCGGCAGGGGCGGGCGGAGTAGGGCGAGGAGGAGGGTGGTGCGGGTGAGTAGCGTAGGGCATCGCGGAGGCGGGTGGTGCAGGGGTTGGCGCAGGCGGGCGATGTGGATGGAGGAGAGCGGCACTGAGGAGGAGGAAGAGGACGTCCAAGCAGACGTTCTTGGCTGGCGGCAGGGGGCGTGGGTGGGCGTTGCAAGTGCAGGAGAGCAGAGTGGAGGACTCACCAGAACAACGGCCGCGGTACATCACCGCGGGACCGTGCATGGTCTCCTCAGCCTAACCTGCATCCGCCTGGGATGTCTGTCGCGGAATGAGTGTGGGAAAGAACGCAATAGCACGACCCGGAGGACAACGACGCGCTATTTTCGGATAAAAAAAGAGGCCATGGAAGTCACTGCATGAATAGATGGCCCAGGAGAGGAGGGAAGCGCACAGAAAGCGACGGGGCAAAGCGAGCCAACAGAGGGCGTGATGCGAAGCCCTAAGAGAATGCGGAAGAGAGAGCGCACTCACGACTTCAGGTCGAGACGGGAAGAGAAAAAATTCGCGGGGGAATCGGCGCTGATGCGCAGGGGAATCTGCCTACGGTCCGAGGGGAGGAGGAGGAGGAGGCGGGCGATTATGTCACTTAGCCGCCCCCAAACCAGCATAGTTTACGTGTCCCGCGGCAAGCAACTACACTAGTACAGGTGCTAACTAAAGATGACCCGAGCCCTGCTTAAACCAGCTGCGAGTCATACAATGAACCACGCTCGAGGCGCAACCGGGTCGAGACAGCGTTGGGAGACGCCGCGGGCATTAGCCGCTGTTACGGTCCGTTTCTTTGTTGTTACATGCCTGCATCATGTTGTATGTCTTCACGTGGGGACTTTTTGAGAAACATCCACGAGACATTGATCGTCAGCCAATCAGAACTCGAGTTTCCAAATCTACAAGGATGTTGGAAGAATGTTTTCGGCGCGTAGCATACTGCATGAGGCAAACATGACGCACCAAAGGAACACCGGGATACATTGGCTTATGCCCGGGCCGGTGAGAGGCATCGCCGGGGAAGCGCGTGCGCTGCTAGCACGCAGCTTCTGGTGCGGTTTGAGAGGGACGCGAGAGGTCAGCCACATGGCCCTCGAAGCGGACATGCGGAGGGTGAGGGGGTCGAAGCTGGTTTCGCGCAGCGTTTCTGGTGGGGAAGGGGACTCAGGCGTGGCGCCGCTGTCAAACCCGCATCCTCCGGTTATCGCCCATTGTGGAGTCGTGGGCGGGTCTTGAACAGCTGCTGCGAAGAATGCAGCTCCGGAGCCAGAAGCTGGAAGCGGTGATCACATTCATGGGGAGGATGGGGCGAGCCGCGGCCCTGCGGCACCTGCTTATGACATGGCCACGTAGGCTGTAAAGGCGCTGGGACTTGCGCATGGGACCCGAGCCCCGGCGGGGGTGATCGCGCGGGCGTGCCCGGATGCGGGGTGGACAAAGGAAGCGCTCGAAAGCTTTTCAAGATATGAATGCATGGATAATAAACACGCATCATGCTATTCATCCACCTCTCTTTCTGCCTTGCTCGCTGTGGGACGAGCCCCTCTTGCCCCCACGCTGCTAGATCAGTGGCCCAGAGGTCCGCTGAAGCAGCGCCTTCGCCCGCCGCCTGCTGGGCGATTTTCAGCTCCTCCAGGGCCGTCCCAATGAGCGCACAGGCTTCGGAGACCCGGCCACCCTTGCCTCCTGCGTCGTCACCGCGCTTTGTGATCTTTGCAAGGAGCTTCTGCTCGGCGAGCTGCATCTTGGCCACGACGCCATTGAGCAGGCCGGTGAGCCCGCCTGTCGATGGAGTTAAGCAGGGAGCCGGGGAACCAAAGAAGCGGCTCACCATTCGGCCTGCCGTTTGCGGTCTGGGCGCCGGGGTCCGTTTGGCCTCCGGACAGGTCCACTGGGCTGACGCAGGGCCAGGCCGCCCCGGCATCCAAAACGAGGGCCCGTTGCTGAGCAGCGCCCCGCGGCTCAAGGAAAGCCCTGCGTTTCTTAGCCGGTGGCGGCGTTCCTAAGTCGCTCCCTGCCCGAACGCGTTTCCGGGACACGTTTGGCGGAGCACGTTTCTCTCCAGTCGACGGAAGGGAGCCAACGGCGGCCACGCCGCGTGTGACGCCAGCGCGAAGCCGGGCTTCGACTGCTGCCAGGTCGTCATACGGTGCGGTTTGTTGGGCTGGAGGGATCGACGCCGCCAGCGTCGCTGCATTTCTTGCCACCATCGCTGCGAGCGCGGGCATTTCCGGACGCTTCAGTGGGGCTGGCAGTTTGCTTGACGCTGGTGCCGTGGAGAATGTGGTGTGGGGGGTGCTCACGGCGCTTTGTTTTACCTTGCGAGACATGATCAGGCTGAACGGGTTCGCGATTGTCGATGCTTTTGCGTTGGAGGGCGCCTCAGGGCACAGGGCGCCCGGGATGGAGACGTCAGTGCGGGAAGGGGCCACAGGTGTCGCATTTTGGAGATCGCTGGACACGGGGCTGGTCGCCAAGACTGAGTCAAGTGCGCCCTGGCGATCAGCGTGCAGGGGAGACCCGTTCTAGAAATCCGTTTAGCACCGCTATGCCTGTGGGAGGGCATCAGGGCTTACCCTTTGCCGCACAAGAGCGGCGTCGCCCAGCATCTTCAGGCGCCACCAGCCATCCAGCGGTGGCTCCGGATGCATGCCACGTTTATTAACCGCTGTGTGGAGGATGCCGTAGGCGATCGCACCAGATGAGGCGATCTTCAAATCTTTGTGCAACGGCGGAAATAATCTGGCCACCACCCACTCTGTGACAGGGCGGCCCAGGCGGAGGTCGATTTCTCTGTTTGCCTCATGGATGGCGGCCAATAGGTCCGGGCCAGGAGTCCCTGCGGCCTGAAAAGGGCAGTGCAGTTCGCAGTGGGCTGGGGCGATCATGAACTGCACCACGACCCAGCCTCCTGCCCCCTCGTCATACCATGGGGCTATGATGATGGCACTGGGGGGCGAGATGAGGGCGTCGACGGCGTCTGCAACCGCGGCCGCGGGAGGTGGAGTCTGGGGAGAGGAAACGAAGGGCCCGGCGACCACGAAATTTCCGTCGGGGAATTCTACTTGAGCGTCGCGTTGGAGAGCAGGAAGGCAGGCCGAGAAAGCTTCCACGTCAAGCGGTGCGTCTGAAAGGAGCGCCTCTGCGATGCGGCGAAGAGGGATGCTGAGGGCATCACGCGGTCGAATATGCTGGGTGCGAACTCGCCATCAGCTGTGGCCCACCCCTCCCTCACCGCAGCACGGTGGATCCATCGCATCTTCTCCTCCCAGAAGAGTTTGCCCCCCCAGACGGCGTCGTAAGCGCGCAATAGCGCAATCGCCCAAGGAGGGTGGCGGAGGCCGGGGGTGGAAGGATGAATGACGGATTGAAACGACCCAGCCCGGTCAAGGGTTTGCCGCAGGGAGGGGAGCACCACGCGAGGGTGGTGGGCTTCGTAGACCCACAAAGGGAGCTCGGATGCGGGGTCCGTTCGTCATTCGAAAACTCCACTATCCCCTCCGCTGGAGAGGTGCCATCCGGGGCTTGATGTGTTGGCTGCCAGACCATGAGCTCCAAGACCGTGACGCCCGGTGGTGGGAAATACTCGTCCTCCACTGATTTTGGCGGACAGGCAGCGGCGGATGTATCCCATTGTGAGCGGTCGGGGGAGACAGGGGCTTTGAAGCGACTGGCGCTGCGTGCCCTGGGGGGCGGGGATGGAAAGAAGGGAGGGGAGATTGTGGGCAGCGGTGCATGCACGGAGAAGAGGGCACCACCGGAAGTTGGGTTGACGGAGCCTGGATCGACATACATCGGCTGAGCTGGGACTTGGGGAAGGAGTAGGTGGGCTATATCGGATCCTGGAAGCGCATGGGGGGGGGCGCTTGCTGGTGGGCCGAGAGGGCCTGTGGCCGGTTCGCTGGATGGCTGCGGCGCAACGGAAGGGTTACTGGAAACGTGGCCATGCGTGCTATCGTGGGCCGGCTGTGCGTGCATGGGTGTCGCGGGGAGGCCTGCTTCCCATTTGGCGGTCGTACTGTAGGACGTCGGTGACGGGCAGGGAGAAGGCCCGAAGAGGCAGTCTCGAAAGATGGTGGGGGTTGCCGGCGTCGAAGACGGAGTATCGAAGCAAATGGCCCCCATGTGCGCCCGAGTCGGCGAAGGAAAGGGCTTCAGGCGCAGCGGGAAGCCAAGCCCATCAGCGACAGCCACCAAGGAAGGGCTGGTGGGGAGATGGGCGATCGGGCTTGGACTTGGGGCCGACTGAGTGTCTGGACAGCCGAACCCCCCTGGTGGGTCAGAGTGTGTGGGCCGTTTCTCGGGGGTGTCTCGGGGTTGCCCGCTAGACGGTGCGGAGTCAGCCGGAGGCTGAAGCATCCCCGGCTCATCGCGTGTGCTCATGCATGAATCGGATGATAGGGGGGCTTCGTTTCCAGGCTCAAAGGTCGTCTCGGAGGCGGAAGGGGTGCAGAACCATTCCGAGGGAATCTCCAGAGGGCCAACTCTGGCCTCGGATCCATTTTGCGGCCCGCCGGAGACTGCATGGCCATCAGAAAAACCAGCGTTCAAGCCACATCCCGACATACCTCCGAAACCAACAGCCATGGGGTCAGGCAAAAGGCGTTTTTCAGATGGGGAAATGGTGGTGAGAAGGCGTATGGGCCGGCTGGTGGGGACTTGAGGCGGCCAGGCGGCTTCTTTGTGAGGCGGCGCGGTGCCAGCAGGGGCAGTTTCTCACGGGGCGGCCACGTCTTGGGAGGACGCGCACGGGGCCCGCGCTCTCCTCAGCCCCCGCCCCGCTTTCCTGCCAACCCCCGCCCCGCGTTCCTGCCAACCTCCGCGCCTGACAGTCGCTCCCCCCGTGTCCTTCACTGTGGCCCTCCCTCTTCCCCGCTGAATCTCAGGCCACCGAAATGAGCCAAGGCGCCATACCCGACGCTGCTCTTGAGGAGCTCATCCAACTCGCGTCCGCCATCCACCACGTGTGCGAGGCATGCCCTGGACGAGTCAAGACCACCGACCCCCACCTCACTGAGCGCTTGAACGACTGGCTCCGAACGGCCGCCGAAAGGCTCGCTGAGTTAGTGGCCGAATACGACGCAGGCATTGAAAGCATCCCCTGTTGGGCCTTTGGCGCACTCCTCGAGTACGGCAGCGCCCAGTGTGCCTGCCTGGCGAGGAGTATGTCGCCTCGGTGCTCAATATTCGCCCTCACACGGACGCTGCAGCAGTGGGAATGGAAATGAGGCTCCGCGGAAATAATAACGGGCTTATTGGTGTCATCCCTCTCGAGCATGTGGCTCAAGAATGGGCATTCGATGGTGAGCTCTGTCTTGTGATGTCCCCACAGGCGTCTTATTTCTGGCAGCGATTTACGCGATAGATTGCCTTCCGCCGCTCCCTGCGAGGGGGCAGTCTCCTGCGACCCCATCCGAGAACGGGAGCCCGCTGCCCTCGAGCCCCCCAAAAGGTAACCAGCCTGCGTTGCCCATGTCAGCATCACTCATGGGTTCGCGGCTGAACAGCGAGAAAAGAGAATCGCGAAAAGCGCAACCGCCGCATCGGTAAGCCCCACGCCGCTCATGAAGTCTCCAATTCACATTGCGGCCAGAACGCGCGGCCACGCCGCTCCCTTCGAGGCAACCGTCATCGGCGAGCTCATCCGAGAATGGGAGCCCGCCGCCCTCGAGCCCACCAACAGGTGAAACACGTCCGCCTGGCCCCCTTCGAGATCGCTCACGCAGTTGCGGCCGTTCAGCTATACAACGCAAGCGCAAAGGGCGCCAACGCGAAACCGGCAGTGAGCCCCCATGCCTCTCGCCTGGTCCTAAACTCACGCCGTTCATAGAACGAATCCCCACACCGCCCCCTCCAAGCGCAGCATCCCCACCGCGGCCGGCAGCACCTCGTGATGCAGGCAAGAGGGCGTCGCGTCGCCCAAGCCGCGCGCTAGAGGACCAGGCGGCCGGCCGGAGCAACGGGCGCGCGAGGCCGTCCTCCCGGGCCCGTGGCCGGTCACTGACGCGGGGGGGCTCACACGTTAGCAGCAGGGCCCGCTCGTGCAGCAATGGCAGGAAGAAAAGTGAGCCAATGTCGGCGGAAGACGGCATCCCGGAATTCCCGGGAGACCTCAAGGCCAACTTTCCATACGGCACGATGCCTCAAGTGAGTGGCCGCGAACCCACATTGCCCTGAAAACACCCATTCATAGCCCATGCCTTAGCACCAAAGCCTCGGAATTGACCGGAGATGCCCGCCTTGCCAGAAGAAGGGCATAGAGTGCCGGTTCTACCCCTTGGCGCAAAAAGCAGCTTGCGTCGGCTGCACGTCGTCAAAGACCGGCTGCACAGTCACCCAAGTCGCTGGCGGCACTACCGGAAGGTGCTCACGAGCAGGCAGATACCGCCAGCTTCGGTACGCGATCCTCGCCGCCAATCCAAACGTCTATGGCTACGATCACGGTCTCCTTTCGGATGCTTGGTACGGCGCTGGGAACAAGAGCATCCCTGACTGGGCTTGGTCGGTCATTGTCCACTGGGAAAAGCACAAGTCTGACAGAGACGAAGTCGTTGAGGCCCGCGGCGGCATCCCACTGGTATACCCGGAGGCTTTCGCCGCACAACTTGGAGAAATCACTTTAGAGGACGAGCTCCATGAGGTAGCCACTTCATTCGGCATAGGAGTCCTGTGTTGACATGGATACAGGACGACGAGCGGCTTGCAGGCCGGGAGACGGACTCTACGCAGACACCGGCTAAGCGCAAGGCGTCAGGCCACAGCAGAGGCAAGCGCCTCCAGTCCAGGACTTTCTGCCTGCATACTTATGGCCTTGCAGACAGCTGGGGCCCCAGGGCCTCACAATCTCAGCGCAAAAAGGCACGCGCCACACGGGCACGCCCCCCATCCCCGGCAACAGCGGCCTACAACCAGCCCCGGCGTCCACCTGGTGCGTCTCATCTGAGCGCGGCACAACCGGCAGTCACTGAATGCCTCCAGGAGGAGTTTTCGACAACGTCCGGTTGTCCGAGACGCCGTCCATGGATTCGTTAAGGCAATGGGCGGCCGTGCACGCACCCCCTGGCTTCCCGTCTCCGAGCGCCATCGACAAACTTTGGGAAAAGGCCAGCTCAATCGAAAGCCAGCTGAGGGAGGCGACGCAAGAGCACGGGACACTCGCTGCCATGGTCCGTGACCTGCGTGACATAGCCGCCAAGGAAGATGCGGCCATTGGGGGTCTTTACGCAGAGCTTCAATCCGCTGGTGCACAGCCAGGACGGGAGGGGATGCCTGGTGAGCTAGGCCTGCAGCACGCATTCCCGGACCTCGGGCCCCCAGCGACACCGAGCATGTTCGCGAATTTCCAAATCTCCAGCCCCAGCCTGCACTTGAGAGGGCCTCCCTCCTCAGGAAGCCCTCCCAGCGGCTCCCTGGGCAGCACATAGCCACTCATTCGTGACCCGTGCCGCCGCTGGCTCCTCGCCTGTAAATGCGGCCCGGGCGCAAGGCACCTTTCTCGCCGTACCTTAGCCTTCCTCGAAAATCGATGCTTTGTTTCCCCACCTTGAGGGGCCTTTGGAAAGCGTCCGCTCGCGCGCACGAAGCGCAGCGTTGTTGCAAATTTGGTGCGACCTCCGGCGGGGCTCGACAGCCCACGGGAGTGCGGCCTCCGGCGGGACTCGATAGCCGACGGGAGTGCGGCCTCCGGCGGGACTCGATAGCCGACGGGAGCTCAATGCTGCTGGGCAGGGCTTACGGGTGCGGCATATCCGCCTCCGACGTGCGTCTGCCCCTCCGTTTGAGGCGCCACGGGGCTATGCATAAGCTCGCTTGGGCGCGCTGTGGCCGCGTGTTCCACGGCGGTGGGGGCGGAAATGCGGCGGATCGAAGCCCAATGCCACGAGACTTAGGCGCAGCCACTGGCTGTGGCTCAAGCTGGGCCGAGCGAAGAGTCTCTAGGAATGGCCTGCTTAATATCCCTGTCCCAGCATGACAAGTCCTACAGATTTCATTTTTCACTCCCTTCAAACGCCTGCCTTCATAGACTAATATACCGAACGGCTTACACGCGTCCAAATGCAATCGGTCCTCCACCACATTCAAACCTCTGGCTGACCCGAACGCAGCCGGGCGGCTTCAGATGGCCCCATTGCGGCCCTCTGTGGTGCGCCGCGCTTCGTCTATTGCGTCCTCGGCCCGCTGCAAAAAAGCGATGGCAGAGCGGATGGCTTCCCGGCGTTTGCCAGTTTGGTACGCGGCGAGCTCCACGCGTGCGCGCTGAACGCCATCTTGTGCCGCTGTGAGGAGTGCACCGAAATGCCCTAGACCCCCGTCAGTGGGCAGAGAGTCCGCGAAGGAAAGAAGACGCACGCTCTCCAGGCAGGGATGGCGTGCTGATGTGCCCCTCCAAAGGGCTGCCAGCACCCGTCTCCATGGACTGCCCCTCGTCCTGGACCCCATGAGTGGCGAGCCATCTAGCTGCAGCATGCTTGATACCTCTGCTGCAGACTGCGTGCTGCCTGCGGAGGGCGAAGGAGGCAGGGGGGCCAAGCCCTCGCGCCCGGCTTCTGATGCTCTTCGCTGCCTCAAGAACGCCGCTAGTGATGCAAACCGCGCCTTGATGGGCAACGCCGTGCCCGAGGACCCTATTGGGGCTGGTACCCCAGCCCTGGTGCCGCTCCCGGGCATGCCTGTGGGCTGGGGATCTGCGTTCGACCGGGCCGAAGCCGCTGGCGCCGTCGCCGTGGTCCACGTGCCGCCGGGGGTCTTTGGGGCCAGGAGCGCGCCCCAGGGAATATCCTGCATGCGGATGACGCTGCTGTTGAAAGATGGTGCAGGGGCTGTAGCCGTGGCAGGGTGCGCCGCTTTCGCGCCGCTCTCCTCCTCCACACAGCTGCCCGAGCTGGTGTTGGAGGCATCGGTGCTGGGCCTCCTCGCGAGGGCGCGCATAGGGCCGGCCATCAGGACCACCTCAGAACCGCTGCTGGAGGGCGCTGCAGCGCCATCGACTGCGATATGCCGCTGTCCCCGCGCGACGATGGGCCGACCATTCTGGTGTGCTGGGTCAGTGATGCCTGGGGTTGGGGGCGCCAAGACCCACCTCCTTCCAAACATCCACCACCGCCATCAGCATCTTCGCCCGGTGATATTTGGCGCGCTCCGGGGACCAAGGCAGTGTTTCAGGGGCGATAAAAAGCTGCAAGGAGTTGAAGACTGCAGAGCCGCATGAGAAGTCATCCCGCTGGGTTGCAACGGATGGGGCCTGGTCGTCGAGCTCCCATGGGGTGCTCTTGCGCTTCAGGTGCTTGTCAATCGCCCGCCCGGTGCGACGTACTGGCTTCTCAATGCGTGGGCTGGGGCGGCCGCGGCTACGAAGGGAGTCGAGGATTGCATATTTGCGGGAGGCGACCTGAAAGCGAACCGCCGCCCAGTGATGTCCCTCTTCGTCATGCCATGGAACCAAAATGGTCGACTGCGTGGGATCTGCCAGGTCGCAGAAGACGTGGGCGAGCGCGCTGTCCTTTCTTACGCCTGCGCGGTCGGGGGCGAACTGGGTGTCTGCGATCACTATGGACTTTGCCTGTGGGGACTTGCGTATCTGCACCCGGAGATGCTGCAGCGCTTCGTGCAAGACTTCGTCATTGATGCTGAGCTGGGACATGATCTTCCTGGCGTAAGAGATTAGGTCACGGTGGAACGCAGGGAGGCAGTCTATCGCCATCATGATCTGCGAAAGCTCCCCAGTTGGCCACTCCTCTTCTGCGTCGCCCGTTATCGCGAACTGAGCAACTTCATCCCAAGCGTGCTTCGTCTCCCAAATGCTCTGGTAGACGGCCCAAACGATCACGGCCCAAGGAGGATAACGGTGGGATGGAGCCGCTGGGTGAATGGCCGACTGGTATCGCCCGTTCGCGCGCGAAACGTCCTTGAGGCTGGGGAGCTTGAGCGGCGTGTGGTCCATTTCAAAAACCCAGAGAGGAAGATCCTCTGGCGCAGTTCTGGCATCGTGTGAGAACACCGCTTCTCCCAGACGGAGGGCGGCGGGCGGCGGGGGAGAACGGCTGGGCCGCCAGCCCCGTAGGTCGACGACGCGGGCGCCCGGAGGGGGATAGAAAGCCTGTTGGGCGGAAATTGGCACCCGCGATGCGTCGGCTGTGTCCCATCCTGCAAAACTTGGAGTGGAGCTTGCCCATTTGACAGAAGGGGCTGGAGGAAGTCCCTCCTGCACCATAGTGGGACGCCGCTGCCGCTCTCTCGTGCCCTTGTTGTGTGCATTTCGGCTTGACGAGCGCCGGGATTCCATGATGCAGAAGCCTGTGAAACACAGCCTTCAGTGCTCGCCCAGCAGAGCAATGTAGAATGAGGTACCTGTGGTCGCGGAGAGGCCCTCATAAGGCGACGGGGCTTAGCGCACCTCTGCCACGACGTGTGACCAGTGCTTTCCCACAGTCTTTGGCGTCCGCCCCGGTTTCAGCCCTGCTCATGCACACCCCACCCCGATCCGCCCTCACTCCTCGCATCACCTCCTCAGTCTACACACGATGTCCAACCTCACCCTAGAGGACCTCCCTCTAGCCGTCCGGTCTCTCGTCCCCCAGATCCGCCAGCTCGCCTCGGCGATTCACTACGCCTGCCTGCACCGGCCAGATCGCGCCACAGCAACACCGCGACTCGTCGAACATTGGGAAAACTGGCTAGCAGAGGCCACCAAGGCCTTGGGGATGGTGGTTTTGCCGATATTAAGTGACATTCCTGCGTTACCCAGCTACGCCATCGGTGCGTTGGCTGAGTTTGGCCAAGGGTTCTTGACCCAAGAGCACAAGCCGTCTGCGTTCAACATTCAAGCTTTGCGCGGCAACGAAGACGACTTTGGCACCCTGTACATCAAAGCCAGTGTGGTTGGCACAGATGACGGTGTTTTGGGTGTTCTTCCGCTGCCCGACGTCGAGGCCACATGGCTACGTGAAGGTTCGTCATCCATCACCCTTGCGTCGCTGGCCTAACAACACCCCAGCCATCGACAGCGTGGGCAATGGCAACAGCGTGAAGAGCAGCACCTCTGATGACCGTGCCAGAGGCACGAAAGGTTCGTGCGCGTTGCTCCCATCTCTACCACCCATTCTGAACGTATTGTAGAAGGAATCGGGTGCACGGGCGCAGGAAGCGCGGTAGCTGGGCGCACTGCGCAACAGGGTTCTGGTTCGGGTGCTGGTGGTGAGTTTTTTCTCCAGCATGCTGGACCGTCTCCAGCTGAGCCTCAATGGGCCATCCCAGAGCGCAGTCACCGCGTCCCCCATATGTCTCCCACGCGTAGGCCAACGCGCCGCGCTTCCACCGTGGCTCGAAAACCATCCAGAAGGACCCGCCCTCCTTCCCAGCTTCCTGGACGCCAAGCCTCCCCAGGCTTGCATGGCACAGGGCGCCAGATAGCGGGGGGGGATGACGGTGTTCCTCCTGAATATGGAATCCCTGCTTTTCCCGTCGCGCTTGGTGGGCAGATGCCGATGGGGCGTATGCCACATGTTACGTCCCTTTCCCACCCGATAGTGAGGGCGATGCTGATCCTCGGTGGCCTGCAGCATCCTGGGATGAACGTCGACAGGCGGTGTAGAGGCTGCGTGGACGGAGGTGGGCCTTGTGAGTTCTATCCGCTGGACCGGGAGGTCGGTTGCATCTGCTGCAAGAAGAAGAACAGGGTCTGCGAGCTAGTGGCCATTGCTGGGGGGTCTGGGTCCCTGCTCGGTCGCTACAGAATGCTCCGCTACGCCATCATGGTGGCCAACCCAGAGGTGTACGGGTGGGACCCGACGAGGGCGTCCTCAAATTGGGCCCGGGCGCCTGAAGAGGACATACCGACTTGGGCGCTCCTGTTGATCTTATTCTGGGAGGACGAGGAGAGGCGAAGCTGGGCGATAGAAAATGAATCCGTCGTCATGCTGGTGTACCCTACGAGTTTCAGCCTACGTCTTGGGCTGATCAATATGTGGGATTCTGAGAACACTGAGGTGCGCCTCTTGCTAACGCTCGCAGGCTGTCGCTGATCACGCAGCAGGCATACGCCGGTTTTCAGCGCCGTGCTGGATCCTCGTGCGCCTCGGACAAAGAGGGCGACTCCAGAGCCGGGCCCCATCTGGGATACGAGCGGGCGTGGTCAGAGGGAAATGGCACAGATGCTGGTGGGTCCCTGCGCGAGTGCATACAGGTCCTGCTCATTCAGCAAGTGCCGTCTCTCTAGCTCCACCTGAGGGATCTGTTTTGGCCTGGCTGCACGGCGAGACAGGGACCCGAGGCTGCTTACTCGAAGAGAGGATGGTCCGGCTCGAGCAGGGCGTCGCGAACCGGAAAAAAGAAAACGAGAAGCTGCGCCAAGAGATCATGGGGCTGCAGATGGCCGCACGTGGGCGAGGGGATCACCTGGCGATGCTGCGAGAGATGCTCAAAGCGGTGCAGTCCCCCTCCCCCGATGCCCATGCTCGAGCCACTGCTGCCGCCGCCCCCCTTGATCCCCTGTCGCCACTGCCAGGGCTTCCAACAGGGCTCTAGCACGCGGCTCTTCGGAATAGCATGGGGGAGGGACAGCCAAGGGGCACAGCGTCCCCATTGTAGACACCCTTTCGGTAGAGCACGTATTCCGTAGCATCCTGGCGCTCGGTGCCCGTCCTGTAATGCATTCTGCTCGCCCGGCGAGTCTGTCGCTCGCGCCAGCCGTAAGGTAGGCCGCGAAGGCTCCAAATCTGCTGCCCGATCGGCATTCTCCCGCGACCCGTCCACCTGGCGATGGCGCCGAGGAGGAGGAGGAGGAGGAGGAGGAGGAGGAGGAGGGTTGAGCCTGGGCGTTTCCGCCAACAGAGTGGGCGGTAATCCAGCCCCAGAGTATGGCTGCGCTTATCGCCCCCGCGTCGCTGCTGATCGGCAACCGAATGCCGGCGGGGGACGGTCCCCGGAAGCCCAATTGATTAGCGCCTTTGGTAGCCGAGTGGAGCTGGCGCTTCACGGCGGGCACCCATTTGCCAGCCAGCAGGCCCTCCCTGCCACAACATGCTCCCTCCAGTCCACCGTATTGTCAAAACCGTGGTATCCTCCTTAGTATCCATGAGGATGCGCCATGCTTTAGGCGGGGCGCTGTCGCCTTTCCAAGCACCGCCAGCCCCTTCTGGGCTCGATGGGGCCATGTACGACGGCTGCGTCCGGGTCTCCCACTGCATAGTGGGTGCAATTGCCAACACAAGTACGTATTGAGTTTCTGCACATTAAAGCTCAAGTGCAAACCCAGGGCGCAGAAAAAGTGGATTGGGGGCTTGCAGAGTATTACCCTTACGTCCAGAAGACACGCGGCTGCCCCTCAGAGGCAGACCTGGAGCGGCGCATGCAAGCCTTCCCCATCAGCCCCGACCCGGGGTCAGGTATCTCGGAGCGCGTCGATGGCCCCGCTTGCGTTGTTGACCAAGAGAACCGGGTTCTTGCCTGGGCCTTCCCGGAGATTTTCACCTCAGAGCTGCAGGTGGGCCCAGACTAACCGCGCGTAGGACCCCGCTGACACGCTAGCACAGGCAGAGTGGCTCGCCGCCATTGGGCCGATCCGCAAACATTTTGTTCCCCAAAAGACAACACTCACTCCTGGCGGCTCATGAAATGCACTTCTGCCCTAATGGGGGAGGTGAAGCGGGCATTTGCGACATTGGCCCGGCGAAAATATCTCGCGGTGCTGCTCATACGGTGCGGCTCTGCAAACTCGCTCGCTGCACATTTCTCATCCTCAGGGCAGCATGACGAAGTCCATGAAAGCCTCAACTGGGACGAGGCCGCAATACAGCAATGGCTGCTTGATATTGCCCGTCCGGCCGCTCTCTTGGACGCCGTTCTCGCCATATTAGCGCCTGAGCAATACACAGCCGTTCGGGCTTTGCTGGACGCAAATGTGCCCCCGGGACAAAGCTGGCCCGTCTCGGCCATCGCAGTACAACTCATCCATAACCGCATCACTCCCTTCCATTGCGACGTTAACAGCTTCCGGCCTTGGTATGACATACTTGTCACACTGGGGGGCTACGGGGAAGACGGCTATATCGATTTGCGAACCCTGGGATATTCCGTGCCTTATAAACCAGGAACCATGGTTTTCATCCTCGCACGGGTGGTGGAGCACGGCGTTCCTGCGGTTGGTGGATGGCGTACGGTTCTGTCATGGTATAATCGGGCAGAGATAGTTAAGGTTTGGTCTGGAGGGGCGGCGCCTGACGTTTTGCCGCCTGCAGTCTCGGACGTGGTGGATTCCATGGCTCGCTGGACGCTTCTATAGTCGCATGTGCGCCCGTCGTCATATTTTGCCGCGTCAGAATGGCCAGGAGTCATTACCCAGCTTTACCAATGAAAATCCGACCGGCGTGAGAATGGGACCACTGCCCCGCCGCCTGGCCCGCGACAACTCTTGGGTCTGTACCAAAAAATCTGACCCCCTGCGTGCCCATCCGACTGTTTCATCGCCTATGAATGACTGCTGATGCCTTTCAAGCAAAGTCCCTGGCCTCGCCTTGCGCTCCCGGGATGAATTCGCTCGGCCTACGCCACCGCTGAAGTTATGGTCTGCTCCGCCTGTCTGGTTACGGGTTTCGGTGCGCGCCTATTGTACGGACGACCGCCCACCACCATTGCCTTTATATGCCGCTCCTGCACCTGCCGTCTCGCCACGCGATGGCCTCCTGGCTCCTCCCCGTCACCTCTCCTGCCCGCATCCCCCGCTGCCTGTGAAAACGCTCCAGTGCGATCGTGTGGCAGGCGGGTCAGCGTGAGGAACAGTGCGTGGGTACAGATGGTAGAAACAGCATAGAGGTCGGGAACGACGTGCGAGCTAACGAAAACGCTGATGTGATGCCAACTCCGGTAAGAGTCAACAAGGGGAGAGGTCTGAGGTCGAATCCGCGTAGGTGTGAAGCGCGGGAAGTCGGTAGAGGGGACGAGCGCCGTGGGACAGGACGTCCGAGGGTTTCGCGGAGGAGGAAGGGGACGGAGTGTGCGAACGCGGAGGAGAGGAGAAGAGGACAAGCGGAGAGATAGATGTGCACGGCGAACGGGCGCTACTACGATGGCGATGGACGAGGGGCGAGGGGCGATAGGCGACGAAGACGATACGATAGAGGCGAGGTCGAATAGATGCGAAGGCAAAGAGTGAGAACACAGCACACGCACGTAGATGCGAGGGAAAATGAACTAGATAGCAACCAGTGCGAGTCGAGTCTAAATACATGCAAATGCGGCCGGCGCGAGGGCGTGACTACGACCGAAACAAGCACCCGAAACATGTCTACAAGCATGGGTGTCATGGCGAGCGTCCGTAAGATAAGATCGGAAACAAGTGGCGGAGAGGGGCAACGAATGTGGCTGACCATGGAGGCCGTGGAATGGGGGATATGCGCAAGGGCGCGGAGCTCGCGCGGGCGTCTGACGGACGCGTGCACGTACCAGCGGTGGTGGATGCACATCAACGTGGTGCGAGGAAGAAGAGCGTGAATGTGGATGCAAGAACGGACAACGGGCATGCGGCGTGCGTGCATGGAGGGAGTCCTCGCGCGGGGATGAGACGTGCGCACGCTGCGAGGCGTCCGATGGACGACGGCGTAGGTTACATATGTACAAATTTTAATGCAAACAGATTGACATGAGCCCATGACGCGAGCAGAGGATGAATACGGCTGCACTCACAAGAGAAGCCGAGGAGTAGAAGCGCGTCTTCCAGCTTGACCCCGGGTCCTGTAGTTGGCCCCAGCTCGGGTTTGGTGGCGCCGAGAACCTTCGCATGGTCGTGATGGCAGTAGTCGAGGATACCACAGCGATGAAACTTTTCTCTTATTGATGTGAGAATGAGGCAACGGAAGCACCAGCCTTGACGTGGAGGCGACAGTCGACGAGGAAGGTGGTGATGACGACGACGGCGACGAAGGTGTGGCAGCTTCAGGCATGTCCTTGTCGCTGGCAGGCTCGCCCTGTGAGAGTGTGCACGGTGTGCGCGTATGAGGTGGACAAGGTTTCAAGATCTGCCCCGGGTGGCCGAGAGGATGCGACGGTCGATGTGAGGAGAGGTGGTGCCGAACTAGCGCGGGATGCTGACCTTCGTCCAGGTTCTGAGCTTTCCATCCGAGCCCTTCGCCCCGCGCCCACCTCCTCGTGCGCGCTCGTTTCGTCCTCATCCTCCGCGTCCTCGTGCGCGCTCGTTTCGTCCTCATCCTCCGCGTCCTCGTGCTCCGCCTCGTCCACACTTGCTTGCGGTTGTCCTGGAGCAGGCTGCGGAGCCATTTCGTGGCCTTGCCCGCATCCATCCCGATCTCCGCCGCGAGTCTTTGCAGGCCTTCAATCGAAGGTGTCTTTGTCCGCTCGAAAAGCTTCTTCAGGGCCTCGAGCTGCCACGGCTCGGCGCGACGAACGCTTTGGGGTACACCTTCGGCCGTGGGAGCGCCGCGCTGTTGTGCTGCGCGTGGCGGTCGGGGGACGGGTCTTCGTGCGACGACGCGTGAAGGCTGTGCGTCGCGCTGTCGGGGATAGCCGCGCCCGGGGCGAGCTGGGTGTGGGTGCTGAGCGTGCCATCGCAGCTGAAGTGCTGACGACGATTGGATCGAGGGGAAAGCAGCCGTCGACATCGACGACTTTGGGATATTGGAGGTGCCGGGCGAGCCGCACAAGCTATGCGGAGAGCTCCCACTGTACGGCAGGGTGCCAGTGCGGATGGCAACGGGAAGGAAGATGAGCCTTGGCGGCGAAGGGGAGAGCGGTTGCTGCGCCTTGTTTGTGAGCGCAGGTGCTGGCGCAGACGCGACGGTGTAAGGAAGGCATTGGTGATGGCGCGGGTGGTGGGAGAACGCACGAAGGATACGGTCCAGAGCCCTTGGAGTCGCGCCGGACCTTTTGGTCGAACTCCTTGAGGGCCGAGGGCTTTATTTTGAGCTGCCGCTGGAGGTAGGAGCACATTTACCGCTCCATCTGGTTGGTCTCGCGAAGCGCGAACATATCTTGGCCGACGATGGTCCACTGCTTATTGGAATAGGTGTCGTCGCAGACAGCCGATGGCCTGACGACCCTCGCGCGTGGGGAAACGGAATTTCGGTCGTCGACGGAAGTAGAGAGGCCAAGGCGATGGAGGTAGGGAGTCAGGGACGAAGCTGGATGGTGGTTGTGGCAGTCGAAGGGCGCGGTCCGCGCGGAGGCTTGATGGAAAGGAATTCTGGGAACGAGGATAGGGGGATTGCAATTGGATGGAGTTCGGACAGCATCTCGATTCTCGATTCTCGACTCCCAGTGACCAGCAGGCCACACTAGCGCCCATTCCCAACGCGCGTCCCCGGCCGCGGGGCTCGGTGCCAGCCGTCTTCACCATCTCCGCCTCCGCCTCCGCTGCCTCCTCCATCCTCCGTCAAACTCGCCACCGTTGTTTTCTCGGTTGCCTAGTTCTCGGACCTCCACCTCGCCCACCTCACCAGCCATGCCCTGGGTCACACCCTCTTCTTTTTCCTCCACGGCCTTGAGGACGACAATGAGTGAGGCCAACGAGTCTT